AATAGAAGAACACAGTCTGCTGAACATAATACTACACAAACATTAGATGTTGCCATGGTTTAATTGCACATAACATGTAAACATTCACAGTGCAGCGAGGAAAAAGTATGTGAACCTTTGGACTTAATAACTAGTTGACCCTCCTTTGGCAGCAATAACCTCAACCAAACGTTTCCTGTAGTTGCAGATCAGACCTGCACAACGATCTGGAGTAATTTTGGACCACTCCTCTTCACAAAACTGTTTCAGTGTAGCAATATTCTTGGGATGTCTGGTGTGAATCGCTCTCTTAAGGTCATGCCACAGCATTTCAATCGGGTTGAGGTCAGGACTCTGACTGGGCCACTCCAGAAGGCATATTCTGTGCTGTTGCAGCCATTGTTTTGTTGAATTACTTGTATGCTTTGGGTCATTGTCCTGTTGCATCACCCATCCTCTGCGGAGCTTCAATTGGCGGACAGATGGTCGTACGTTTTCCTGCAAAATGTCTTGATAAACTCTGAAATTCATTTTCCCATCAATGACAACAATCCGTCCAGGCCCTGAGGCAGCAAAGCAGCCCCAAACCATGATGCTCCCTCCGCCATGTTTTACAGTGGGGATGAGGTTTTGATGTTGGTGTGCTGTGCCTTTTTTTCTCCACACATAGTGTTGTGTGTTCTTCCCAAACAACTCAATCTTGGTTTCATCTGTCCACAGTATATTTTGCCAGTAGTGCTGTGGAACATCCAGGTGCTCTTTTGCAAACTTCAAACGTGCTGCAATATTCTTTTTGGACAGCAATGGCTTCCTCCGTGGTGTCCTCCCATGTACTCCATTCTTGTTTAATGTTTTCCTTATTATAGATGTGTCAAAAAAAATGTTAGCATGTGCCAGAGATTTCTGTAGGTCTTTAGCTGACACTCTGGGATTCTTCTTTACCTCATGCAGCATTCTGCGCTGTGCTCTTGCAGTCATTTTTACAGGACGACAAACGTCTAGGGAGAGTAGCAACAGTGCTAAACTTTCTCCATTTGTAGACAGTCTGTCTTACCGTGGACACATGAACATCAAGGCTTTTGGAGATACTTTTGTAACCCTTTCCAGCTTCATGTAAGGCAACAATTCTTGATCGTAGGTCTTCTGAGAGCTCTTTTCTGCGAGGCATGGTTCACATCAGACAGTGCTTCTTGAAACCAGTAAATCCAAAACAGGTGTGTGTTTTTTAAGGGCAGGACAGCTGTCAGCAACACATCCAATATCATCACACTGATTGGAGTCAAGGTTGGCTCACTCCTGGCTCCAATTAGCTCTGGGAGAAGTTATTAAGCTAGGGCCTCACATACTTTTTCCTCCCTGCACTGTGAATGTTTACATGTTATGTGCAATTAAACCATGGCAACATCTAATGTTTGTGTAGTATTATGTGCAGCAGACTGTGTTCTTCTATTGTTGTGACTTAGATGACGTTCAGAGCACATTTTATGCCCAATTCATGCAAAACTCCACGTAATCCCAAGGGGTTCACATACTTTTTTCTTGCAACTGTATGCCATTGCCTCTCCCCACTCTATCACAATTTGAAAACAAGCTTTGCTTAGCTATAGTTCATTTAAACAGGAGCATTTAAAGATTAAAAATCCTGAAAAGATGTATCGAAAGTCCTAAAATTTACTGGATTTTAGCCACCCCATCAGAAGATAGTTTAAATTATTGTAGAGCCTGAAGGTTTTTTTACCTTCGTGCATTCTATGCGTGAAGGTAAGAAACCCATCAGCATGCATCACCCACCACAGCCCCTCTAATTCTTACCCAAGCCTGATCCCGATCTAGCGATGTGCACGAGAGCGGCTGCTGTCCTAGCTCTCTGCCTCTTCATTGGCTCAGAGACATCAGTTGGAGCCATTGGCCTAGTGGGGCTTAGTCCTGTTCTTTGTGTTTTATGGACAAACAGAGCGGGGCTTGGGAGTGTGCATGCATGAGTGCCCCCAGAGCAAGCCACTTGTCGGGGGGGAAGGAGCCCAGAGTGCCAGCAGAGAACCCAAGAAGAGGAGGATTAGGTCTGCTCTGTGCAAAACCATTTGTTAGCAACCACCTGGCGGTACCTCTAGCAGCCCACAGGACAGGATTCCCCAGAGCGCGGAGTCTAAGCCCCAGCCTGCTTATTCACCAGGGCCCCTGATGGTGGGGATGGACTTGGAGCAGACTGGAACCAGGTCGCGGCCCCTGAGTACACCCGTCTGTGGTAGAGGAATCCGCCGGGGATCTGTGCAGGTGGAGAGCCTGACGTGAAGAGGCAGAAGGCGGAAGCAGGGATGGCTGGATCTATTGCGGATGGATGGACAGATGACCGTGGTCAGACGGGCCAGGTCGATAATAGAGAGGTCAGCGTAGTACAAGGCAGCAGGCAGAAGAATAGTCAGGTCACTCGCCGGGGTTGGTACCAGTAGTTCAGATCAGGTAGAGAGGTCAAACTTAGCCAGGGGTCAGAGCAGAAGTCAGCAGAGGTCAGGTCCAGGCAGGTCAGCAACGAATCTTCAGCAACAGAATACAGGAACACAGGAATAAGACCATACGGTAATATGTGTAGGTGCAGGGCAGGTTTAAATAGTGCTCCCTGCCCTGCCATTGGTGGCAAGCGAGCGGCCGCGAGTGCGTTTGCGCGGCCGCCGCCGTCCAGGTCCTGGTGTCCGCCGGCTAGAGTGGATCGGTGCTCTGCGCATGCGCGGAGCCACTCGTAGCTGCGATCCCTGACACCATTACACAGAGCAGGTAAGTATGGCATTTTTTCTTTTTAGTCCTTTAATATCACTTTAAAGATTACCACTTCTGCTTATGCAAACAATGGGGCAAATTAACAATATAACACTTTTCTTCAATGAAAAAATGGAGCAAATCCTGCTTCTAACAAAAAGTGCAGCCCTTTAGTTAATTAGTAGCACTCTGCTCCCTGTTCTATGCTGTGTCTGCGACAGACAGGGCACAAACAGTTCAGCTGGTGCTGCATAATCCAATCATCCTCCCCCTATTTTGGCCACAACTCATTTACAATATATTCAATTTTTGCAACCCATGGACATGCAAATCACATGGCTCATTTGTGTAGAACTCCTGTTATTCATTCATATGCAAATCCCACCGACACCAACACCTACCTTCACTGTAGATGAATGCTTTCTAGGAAGGGAATGATACAGCTGAGCAATGCAATGGCTGGCCAAACAATATCACCTAAGAGTCTTACAACAGGAGTGCCAAAGGGTGCTTAGTCTGTTGAGCATATTTTTTCCACTGACCAGCAGTAAAGGGACACAGTGTTACTGACCATTACACTCTGTACACAGTGTTGTACCTTACATAGTCCTGACCCTGCATTCAATGTGTTGAACATTATACTTCTGACCCCCACACTGTTTGTGCAGTGTTATACATAATACTCCCACACTTTTTAGTCTTGACCTCTACATGCATTGTATACACTATGTTGTACATTATACTCTTGACCCCTGTTTGAAGATTAATGGCACATCCTGTTCACAGACAGCTTGTCTGGTGCTCTGTGACAGCTTCCTCCTCCTTTCCCTGCCCCTGGCCCTGTCCATCATCCGCCCCTTGCTCTATAAAAGGCTCCTTCACCCCCAGCTCCTCCCTGCCTGATGAAAGAGCGCGCCTGGAATCATCTCGTCCTGCACATGCTCAGAAACGCATCGCATTTTGATGACATCAGACGCCACATGTGCTGATCCCGGACATCTTGGAGACTCTGCCAGGCTCCACCATCCAAGTTGCATATGCACAGCATCATCTGCTGGCAGACACCTTGGAGATTCCCCCAGGCTTACCATCCATGTTGCACATGTACAGCACCACCTGCTGACGGACTCAATCGATCTCCTCTCTGGATCAGTCACACAACTACATCTGGCTACAGACGTCTCACCCTCTTACTCATGAGCCTGTTTTTAAATTCTAAGATGTGAGTTACTACTTATCTTTCTATTAAATACCTTCACAGTACACACTTAGAGGCGCTGTGTTTCTTTGTTTCCCTTCTGCAGAGTTATGCTTCGCTCCTACGCAGCTTGCCCTTAGTGCCTACTGGACTACCTTCACTCCTGCCCATTTGGAGTTCACCAAACATACATGGACTGCCACACCATGCGCCTGTTTTCCCTTTTGTATTGACAATCTATACTTTTACCCTAGGTTCACTACCCTAGCTTGATGCATTTTGTGTTTTTATTTTGGATAATAGAAAAGTATGATAGCTCTGTTTATGTAGTGTGACTTTGATGCGACTGTACACTCTCTGGCACTCAAGTAATATCAAAGTAGCATCAAAGTTGAAACAAAGTAGTGTAGGAACCTTTATGTGACCAAAGTTGCATATTAGGGTTAAGGGCTAGGGTTAAATGTTAGGGTTAAGGGATAGGATTAGGGTTCAATGTTGGGTTAGGGTTAAGGTCTAAAATTAGGGTTAGAGATAGAGTTAGGGATAGCGTTAGAGTTGAAATGCTAACCCTAACAATTATCGCTAACCCTAACCCTAGCTCCAAACCCTTGCCTTTAACTCTAACCCTAATATTTAACCCTAAACTTAGCCCTTAACCCTAACCCTTGCCATTGATACTAACCCTAGCACTTAACCCTAACCCTAGCCCTTAGCCCTAACATGCAACTTTGGTCACATAAAGGTTCCTACATTACTTTGTTGCAATTTTGATGCTACTTAAATGCCAGAGAGTGTAAAGTTGCACCAAAGATGCACTACATGAACAGAACTGTCATACTTTTATATTAGCAAAAAAAAAAAACCCCAAAAAGCAAAACATAGCAAAAACGCATGTTCAAAAACGCAAAACGCACAGTAAAACGTGCCAGAAAAAACAGATGAACTGCAACCTGCATAGATGTGAATCTAGCCTTCCTTTATAAAGCTACATACGGTTTTGCCTTGTATGCACAATTTAGAAAACAAACACAACACCAAAACATATAATGATTGCACTTACACCATTCACAGTAGCCGAGATCTCCATAAAGCAGAATTGGTAATATTCGGCTGTGTTTGGAAAAATGGAAGCGTTCTGGGAACTCCTGTTTCCTATATACTTTTAAATGAGGATGTGCATCTTTAAGTTTTTGATACAGTTCTTCTTCTCGACCTTCTCTTGGTAAAATCATACCAAAGCCACCATAGTCCAATATGTCAAACTTCACAATGTCTTTAAAATCAATGTACTTGGACAGTCTAATCTCTTCTGTTACATTAGGTTCTTTTTTAACAGTTGTCATGCCATGGTCAGATGTAATAATTACATTTAATTTGCTTTTTAAGTTGTTGTTCTCAATGGCATTTAAGAGATAACCAATGGTTCGATCTATTTGCTTTATTATTGTTTTCCTCTGCTCAGTTTCTGGACCCCATAAGTGGCCGGTTTTGTCAGGCTCTCCATAGTAAAGGGTTACAAAGTCAAGACCATCATCAGTGAACCATTTCATAACTATATCTATGTTATCTCTCCATTCCTGCTCATCACTGTCAGGGTGGTCTGACAACTCTGCCAAAGCTTTAAACACCGTTTTTCCACTGTAATTAGCATTTCCTCCTGGAAAATGAAGAGAACCAGCTCTTAACCCCTGTAAAGAGAAAACAAGACTTTAATGTAAAGATTGAAGGAATAATTTGCTTGCAATCATGTCAAATCAGCTCTAATGAATCTACATGTCTAAGCTATGACAACCTCAATTGTATGCCAAGTGATGAATATATACAGTACATAGCACTGTTATCATAAAAGGCAGGATCTATGTATTCATTTACATGTTTTCCCTGTGCTTTCCTGAATTTTATTAAAATCCTCTAGTTTCATCCTATAATGGTTGTTAATTCATTAAAGTGTTACTAAACCCAGGACCCTGCACTCACTCTATCTGGTCTCAAACAGTACACGGAACATGGAAATGCAATTATTTTAGTAAATATAAACTGCTAAATACATTTTTCCTTCAGCAGTTAGAGACGTCTTGTGACTTCTATCAGTGTCAAGCAGAGCACTGGTTAAAGCTTGTAGGAGGAGTTTTCTTTCTGCTTTAGGAGCATGCAGAACCCCTGTACTCTGTGTGGACAGTGCTGATTAGCCCTGTGCTGATCACATGCACTCTCCCAAGACAAAAAAACCTCTCCAGCAATACACACCAAACTGAGCATGTGCAGATGGTCCCTACACATATGTCTTAATAGAAGATACGAGGGGGACACTGGAAGAAGGGGAGGATCAGAGAAGTCAGGATCAAACATTCATTTTACACAATGCAGAGGAATAACCCCTTAGGCTCCACAATGAGTATAACAAGCATGCTTTACTGCATATACAGACTGATTATACTGTTGTGGGTTTAGTAACACTTTAATTTCTACTTTTTGTGGTTTGCAGTTTTGAAGGTTTAGTTCAAAGGATTCAGTTTTATTTATTCTACTTTAACTGTTTTCTTTTATTCCTTCTCTGTAACCCCAAAAAATCACCTTCAATTTGCACATTGTTTTTGACTCTTCATCCCAGTGAACAATTTCAAAATCTTCCTGGAGTTTGCATTTTCTCCTTGGGCACAACCTGCCTTGAGTTGCATGTTCTCCCTGGGCCTGCATGCATTTCTTACCACACTCCAAAGACATGCTGGTAGGTTAATTGTCTCCTGTCTAAATCTGCCCTAGTATGTGTGTGTATGAATGTGAGTTATGGACTATAGCTTGTAAGCTTCTTGAGGGCAGGGACCGATGTGAATGCACAACACAATATTTACTGTATGTAAAGAGCTGTGTGAATTGATGGTGCTATATAAGTATCTGTAATTGTCATTAAAATATTCTGATCAATTAAAGAGAATGTATAGTCCTTATATACAGTTGCAAGAAAAAGTATGTGAACCCCTTGGGATTACGTGGAGTTTTGCATGAATTGGGCATAAAATGTGCTCTGAACGTCATCTAAGTCACAACAATAGAAGAACACAGTCTGCTGCACATAATACTACACAAACATTAGATGTTGCCATGGTTTAATTGCACATAACATGTAAACATTCACAGTGCAGGGAGGAAAAAGTATGTGAGGCCCTAGCTTAATAACTTCTCCCAGAGCTAATTGGAGCCAGGAGTGAGCCAACCTTGACTCCAATCAGTGTGATGATATTGGATGTGTTGCTGACAGCTGTCCTGCCCTTAAAAAACACACACCTGTTTTGGATTTACTGGTTTCAAGAAGCACTGTCTGATGTGAACCATGCCTCACAGAAAAGAGCTCTCAGAAGACCTACGATCAAGAATTGTTGCCTTACATGAAGCTGGAAAGGGTTACAAAAGTATCTCCAAAAGCCTTGATGTTCATGTGTCCACGGTAAGACAGACTGTCTACAAATGGAGAAAGTTTAGCACTGTTGCTACTCTCCCTAGACGTTGTCGTCCTGTAAAAATGACTGCAAGAGCACAGCGCAGAATGCTGCATGAGGTAAAGAAGAATCCCAGAGTGTCAGCTAAAGACCTACAGAAATCTCTGGCACATGCTAACATTTTTTTTGACACATCTATAATAAGGAAAACATTAAACAAGAATGGAGTACATGGGAGGAGACCACGGAGGAAGCCATTGCTGTCCAAAAAGAATATTGCAGCACGTTTGAAGTTTGCAAAAGAGCACCTGGATGTTCCACAGCACTACTGGCAAAATATACTGTGGACAGATGAAACCAAGATTGAGTTGTTTGGGAAGAACACACAACACTATGTGTGGAGAAAAAAAGGCACAGCACACCAACATCAAAACCTCATCCCCACTGTAAAACATGGCGGAGGGAGCATCATGGTTTGGGGCTGCTTTGCTGCCTCAGGGCCTGGACGGATTGTTGTCATTGATGGGAAAATAAATTTCAGAGTTTATCAAGACATTTTGCAGGAAAACGTACGACCATCTGTCCGCCAATTGAAGCTCCGCAGAGGATGGGTGATGCAACAGGACAATGACCCAAAGCATACAAGTAATTCAACAAAACAATGGCTGCAACAGCACAGAATATGCCTTCTGGAGTGGCCCAGTCAGAGTCCTGACCTCAACCCGATTGAAATGCTGTGGCATGACCTTAAGAGAGCGATTCACACCAGACATCCCAAGAATATTGCTACACTGAAACAGTTTTGTGAAGAGGAGTGGTCCAAAATTACTCCAGATCGTTGTGCAGGTCTGATCTGCAACTACAGGAAACGTTTGGTTGAGGTTATTGCTGCCAAAGGAGGGTCAACTAGTTATTAAGTCCAAAGGTTCACATACTTTTTCCTCGCTGCACTGTGAATGTTTACATGTTATGTGCAATTAAACCATGGCAACATCTAATGTTTGTGTAGTATTATGTTCAGCAGACTGTGTTCTTCTATTGTTGTGACTTAGATGATGTTCAGAGCACATTTTATGCCCAAATCATGCAAAACTCCACGTAATCCCAAGGGGTTCACATACTTTTTCTTGCAAATGTATATATATATATATATATATATATATATATATATATGTGTGTGTGTGTGATTTTGCATTTCCGGGTAGGGGGCATGCGCGCCCCCTACCCACACTGCCGTTTCCAGCCGCGGCTGTCAATCACCAGGTCCCACCTGGTGATTACTGAAGATCTCCAATGGGGAGGAGAACTGTTTTGTTTACTAACAGTTCTCCTCCCTGTCAGCTCAGGCACACTGCTTTTTTTTTCAAATATTTTTTTTTTGAAAGATTTTGATACAATACAAGATAATATATATCAGTACGGATCACAATCATGTGCATACATACTTATATGAAAGAGAAAAATAAAATCCCCACCAATTGGCTGGGGGTATATGAACAAATATTTAGTGTTTCAGAAAGTGTTATTTATTTAGTGTGAGCCGTTAGGTGTAAAAACGTTGTATAAGGTGGAATGGGATAGGAGAGGGGGTTGGGGGTGGAAGGGGGACACCAGTCTAGGACATAACGTCGCATGTTGTATATTTATGAATATATTATCATCTTATGGAGCAGTTGGGGTTTTGTAGCCATAGAGACCATTGGTTATTGAATTTGTGGTGGGAAGAATTATTATTAAAGGCTGATCTTCTTTCCATGTCACATTGGAAGTTCAGGTCAGGCTATAAGGGCAGGGAGAGAAGGGGTTTTGGAAGAGTGCCATAGTTTAGTGATATTAAGTTTTGCGCTGCTAATATGTGGATAATGATGGTACAGGATGTGTTGCTGAATTTGTCGATTCCTATATGGAGGAGAGCGAGAGCAGGATTTGGAGCCACTTGGGCTCCGACAACTGTAGAGATCAGTTGGAAGATACTATTCCAGAATGATCTTAGAGATTTGCAGGTCCATAGAATATGTAGGGTTGATCCTGTTTCTCCGCATTGTCTCCAGCAAGTGGATGAATGGTGGGGGTAAAATAAAGCGAGTTTGACAGGTGTGAAGTACCACTGGTGTAAAATTTTCATGTACGATTCCCAATGGGAGCTACATCTGGATGCTTTGTGTGTGATGTTAAAAGTTCTTTCCCATGTATTGGTTGTATTGGTATTTCCCATGTATTGGTTGGGTTGTATTGGTTGAGAGAGAAGTTTCTCCCAGTTGGATAGGGAAGTGGATTGTAGGGTAAACAGTGAACTGGTTATAAGCGTGTAAAAAGTCGATATCCCGTTCTTAGGGTATTGCGGTTTATTAGGAAAGAGGTATGCGGTTGTAGGAACCTTCAAAAAATGTGGAACGATCATCTCTTGTAAGGAGTGAGCTATCCTCAAATATGTGAAGATTTCATTGTCAGGAAGGTTACATTTCTGTTGGATGGTCGGGAAGGAGTCTAGTTCGTGGTTTGTATAGAGATCTTGTATACGGGATATATTTTGTTTTTCCCAGCGTAGAAGGTTGAAAGAAGGGGTAAGAAAATGTAGTATGGTGATTGGCGTGGGAATTGCTTTTGACTCTGAAGAGTTAGATGATAAAAGGTCATACCAAGCTTGCGTGGAAGCCCGGATGCAAGGGTGTTTGGGTAGGTTTCTGGATTGAGAAGATTGTGGTAGGAATAGAATGTCATGTAGTGTTGGCGGGAGGTGAGGGAGTGTTTTCATAGTGGTCCACGTTTTTTCGATAGTTGGGTGCCACCAGAAGTAGAGTTGGTCTATAAGTACTGCATTATAGTATGATTTTAAGTGCGGGAGACCTGCCCCTCCTCCAGAAGTTAGGCGTATAAGAAGGTTTGTTGTACATCTGGGTTTCTTCGAGTTTCAGAGGAATTTGGCAAGTAATGATTGTAGCTTGGAGAAGAAAGCATTGCATTGAGAAGAAAGCATTGCGAAAAGATGTAAAGGATTTTAGGTAGTATGCACATTTTTAGAGCGGCTACTCTTCCCAGCTTCGATAATGTGGACGTGCGTAGGTTTTTAAGTTCTTGAGGGATGGATTTGAGTAGTCATTTGTGATTTGAGGTATAAAGTTGGTCTATTGAGGTGGTGAGTTTAATTCCCAGGTAAGGGATGCTGTGGTGTTCCCAGGAGAAGGGAAAGTGCTGTAGGAGTGTTTTCTGAAGCTTAGTGGGTATATTAAGGTTTAAGATAGAGGATTTGG